AAAAGTGGCAGGAGCGGTGACCAAAAATTATTTTAGTAGCTTAGCACTCGATTTACAGATCTGTTCAGGATAGCACATCTTCATCCAGCTCACATGACCCATTACTCACATACCGCCGAGTGTCAGTGAATGACACCGCTAACAGGCATGATAATGGCCTTTGTCATCGCAGGGACTCCAACTGGTGACCTCACATTACATGTCTGGTGAGCGCCCCTGGGGGGCAGCGCTGGGCTCACCGGTGAGGTCGCTGCTCTCTATACGGCGCAGGTCTGCGTCCGCCCAGAAGAGCCGGCTTGCTTCATTGTCCACGGCGAGCGCCACAGGCTTTCCCAGACCGGTGAAAAACAGCACCTCCCTCTCCGTGCCATCTAGCGCCGCGCGCTCGATCTTGGGTGAGCGCTCCTGCAGATTGGTGAAGTACATGTACCTGGAGGGACGGGGGCACCGTGAGTGTCCAAATAAAAATGTCACCTTGCTCACGCTCGCCAAGACAAGAATTGAAACTGGGAGCTACGCAACTCTGCTGTCTGGTAAGTTTTTCCATTTTTCTTCTAGAAATGTAAGGAGCAGGTTTTTTTACAAGTCATCCCTAGATGAAGAGCTCTAAGAGGAACTCTTAGACTAAATGTGTCAGACATGCAGAGTAACATTCAGCACGGCGCTTCAGGACTCTGCTCTGGGCCTAGAAATCCAGCTTGTTCCAGCTAAAATGCATAATTACAGATCCAAGGGATTACACTCTCTCAAAGATCATCATGAAACCAACACGTGAAAACAGAAGTGAACTGACCCCCTCTCCGGGTTGACCACGATGGCACGGGGCCTGTCGTGCTCCCCGCGAAGCACCACCCCCACACCGTGGCCGTCTATGTGCGTTACGTTGATGACGTTGGTCACGTCGCTGGTCCAATAGATGAAGCGGCTGTAGACGTCGATGCTGAGGTCAAAAGGCTGTAGTCCGAGGCCCCCCAGCGAGCCAGAAACCACACTTATGCTCTGGGGAGGGGGTTCAATGTCAGAGGTCGCAATGAAAAGTCATGGATACTATTCATGCACCGTGAGCCGACTGGGCTTCCAAAGAAAAACGGAGAGACCCGCATCTACTGTTGTGCATTTAAAAAGCAGCATGTCACATGGTACAAACTGCATGGTATACGGTAAACTGGACTGGAGTGGAAAGACTGTGTGCAAATGCACAATTGATTAGAATATCCCCAGGTACAACATATTTCACATTTAACAGATGGACTTCTGTCCAAAGTGGCATACAAGTGAGGATCAGACAGTAGGGTCAGTATTCCTGGACCTATTAAGGTTAAGGGGCTTGCTCAAATGCCCCAATGATCATCTTAAACCAGAGCACACTGCAAATTAGTAAATTCATAGCTCATGTACAATTTTGGGGGGGGCGGGTGGGCACATCATTATCACGAAGAAGCTGCGAGAATGGTTGAAGGATGGTACCTGGTTTCCATCCTCCTGGGCCCGGCGGATGGCGTTCTGCTTGGCATCGATCCAGTAGAGGTGTCGGAGGAGGGGGTCGTAGTCGATGGCGCGCACATTCCGAAGGCTGTGCAGGGGCAGGATGATGTCGGGGCTCTGCTGCTCGTCCACCACCATGCGGCTGATGGCCGTCTTCTGGCTGAAGAGCAGGAAGGAGGTGGGGGCTGTGGGGTGGGGCGGGGGGAAGGTCAGGGGAGATGGAAAGACCCGTGATGCACTGAAGACTGAATCGCACGGGGCTCTATGTGCCCACTCATTCATACATATCAGTTTGACATTGGCGCCAGAACACATGGCAAAAAGCGGTGGCGGGCAAATCAGACACCTTCACCTGCCATAAGGACCAGCTAGAGACTACTGACAACAAGTAGGTAACATTGAAAGCAGAGGCTACACCTAGCCTGCCTGGCTTAACGAGGCTGAGTGACCCAGCAGTCACTTTGTACAGACCTGCAACAGAGCAGGAATTAGACAAAAATAAGTGGACATCGATTTTGTGGAAGAAAAAAAAACAGGAAAAAAGCAAAAGCAATATTTAAAAGAAGAATAAAGACCAGAGAAAGATATAAAAAAGGATCATCCATGACAGGGCAACTCCTGTGGATCCCTGATTTAAGGCTGTACTGTGCTGAGAAGCACCCAGAATAAAAGTCTATCTGACGGCGAGTGGATCTGTAAACGATGCAGCAGGTTTTATTAATACCATCCCCATACTGTTCACTTCACACAGGGTGCCACTTAAGCCCACGAGTCGCTGAGCTGCCGCCGCACTCACATGATCCCCGATGCCAGCGCTGCTGCACTCCCTAGATCTCCCTTCCCAGAGCGCCTCTTAATTCAATTTATTGTTCCTCCCCCTCCTTTAAATCAACGAAGGAGGAGGGCGCAGCGAGGCTGAACTGGGCTCCGTTTTTCGACACCCCAGCCAAGTTGCCAAATGTGCAAACCGCGCTTACTTCAGAAGCACAAAGCCGTCTGAAGAACACAAAAAAAGAGAGAGAGAGAGCAAGTCCCACCACGTCACCCCTGCACTATAACTCCACTATTAATAATCGAACAGCCAAAGCTTCAAGGCTAAACCCCGCACTGAGCCTCCATCCTCCTCTCACCGGGGAGCTGCCCGACTCACCGCTGCAGCTCTTGTTGTCGTTGTTCAGAGAGAAGTGGGCAGGGCATCCGCACACAAAGCCGCTGACGGGCACGGCCAGGCACAGGTGGGAGCAGTGGCCGTTGGTGGATGCGCAGGCGTTCCAGCCTGCCTGCCGCGACGAGTGGAACACCAGGATGTCCATCACGTAGTCCAGGTGGCCTTGGATCACCGTGCGGTTCTGCCCGCTGGTCTTGTTGGCGCGCTCGATGCTGCGCTGACTCCAGTCCGTCCAGTAGATGTAGTCCTGGTACTGCGTCAGACCAAAGGGGTGCGGCAGGTCATCTGCTATGACTTCGCGTTCCATACCTGCATGCAAAAGCGAAGGGGAAACAGTAAAATTAATTACTGATAAACCCTTCCTTAGTCATTTGCCCCATAAGAAATTCACTGCAAGGATCATAGTCGGGTAGGACCGATTTTTCCCTCCGAAAACTGGCCTGACAAAAGCATAATTTCATCTCCTTCCATAGGGGGACTCGAATCTACGTTTGTATGTGCAAACCATCGAAGAATGATTCAAGAAAAAACATGAGATGAACAGTAACAGTGAAATGCCCCCTAATTGGAAACATACTCCACTGCTGTAAGGTGATATGCTGCAGACCCAGCGGGTACAGAACAGCCTATGACTAAAATGGAAACAAATACTACAATGTGGAAAATGATAGATTAAACAAAATCTGCAACGCACTGATTAACAAAGGAAGCCAAACTCCCAGCATGACACTGTGCTGGTCTGTAGTCACTAATATGTCTTTAGGTTTTAGGTGCCATGACACGCCTGCCTCTTTGCTGAAAAGAAGGTCCCCCGCTTTCAGACATGAGATCAGTCACCAAGCAGGTTGGACGACTCTATGAGAGTCGTGTCCAGGTCCGTCCAGTACAGCCTCCGCTCGGCGTAGTCGATGGTCAGGCCATTGGCCCGGCCTACGTTGGGGACCAGGGTGACTCGGCCAGTTCCATCCATGGCAGCACGGTCGATTTTAGGTTTCCCACCCCACTCCGTCCAGTACATAAACCTGCAGATGGACAGATGGTTGGAAACTGATGAGCTGAGCTTCAATTGCCATCGATCATCTTGCTGCTGAAAGGCGTCAAAGCCTTCCTCCATCTGCTGGGAACTGCTGACTGCAACATGCACAGCACAGGCCTAGTCTCTAAAGCATCCTCCTGCAGCCCAGTTGCTTGCTGGACTGGGTTTTACAGTTTATCATTTAAAGCTCATCCCATGTTAATACAGATGTAAATTTGTATGACGTAATACAACAGAAACATGGACACAGCATTACTCATAAAATGTGAGCAACTTTTAAGTCTGGCAAACAAATTCACATTTGAAATTAACTGAACTTCTTTCAACGTAAACTGGTGTTTGGACATCGATTCTCAGATCATTCTAGTACCACTGCTTAAACAAACACCTCGCTCCTGTACAAACTGGTATATACATCTCCATCTCCCACTGGTTTCCGGTCCCCCTCCTTACCCCTCAGCTGGGTCTAGAGCCAGGGCCCTTGGGCTGTCCAGGTCCTTCCAAACCAGGACCTGCCGGTGCTGCCCATCCAGCTTGGCCACCTCGATGCGGTTGGTGCCAGTGTCGGCCCAGTACAGGTTCTTGCCAAGCCAGTCAACTGCCATTCCCTCGGGATAGTCCAGGCCAAACTCTACCACGGGCTCCAGGGCGCTGCCGTTCATGAAAGCTCTGCTGATGGTCTGATTAAAGGGAAAACACCATTCAGGAGGGAACCCTTATGGCATGGAACAGCTATCAGTTTGCTGCCAGATGTCTAAGTAGGATATGTCATTTATTTAGCTGGACATTCTACTGAAAAACATTCCTCAGTGGCACTTCAGCAAGTCCCATCCTGGGACCTCAACTGAGCTCCCTCAACTTACGGGTTCTGCCCTGAACATGCATGATGCAGAGGATTCTCAGGTCAGAAACAACAAGACAACAACTTACGAACAGCACATCTAATTGAGAAACGCCAAGGGAATGTAGAGCGAGGCCTTCAAGTTTATGCCAGGATAGAGATACTAATTCACAGCCTTTCCTCTAGATGCTCAGAAGCTAGATTTCCATCATCTCACCCAAAAATATGAACCCCTCAAAGTGTCAGATGAGATGAAAGCCATTAAAACTTGGGTTGGAATCAAACACTATGTCTTGAGATGGGGGTGGCGTGTCTGATACACAGCGATGCTTATGTTAAACCATACAGAAGTGAGAAATCGGCGCGAGGAGAGGACGAGTTCAGCACTCATGGCTCATTCTCACAAAGGTGTGAGGCAGCAGGCATAAATAATGCAGGACTCTGAGACAGGCCTGAGCACAGCGTCCAGCAGTGTCCCGTTCATCTAGCCAGACTAATTGGGGACTCTTGAGCACTGAAGTTTCTGTAGGTTGGGAACGAGCACTTTATTTGCGGTGTGCATATTTAGACCAACGACGCTTTACTCCAGCTGAAAAGGAAGGAGACTAAAGAGTCCCTTCAGCTGGACCAGGCCCAGACTCGTCCCCAGTTTCCTGCTGGACTTCCGACCTGCCAGCTGAGAGAACCAAAGAGAACCCCTGTCAGGCGGCACCACGGGCACCAACATGGCTGCTACATCGCAGTGCCTGTTCATTGTTGCTCTTGACCACATCTAACCGCATGCACATATTTCCAGCTCTCCACATGAAAAGCAGAACAGAGGGAGGAAAAAAAACCCTTTCTGATGGAAGGATTTCCTTTTTCTTCCAAAGACGCCATATAAATGGCTTTCAATCAGTGCCTGGCAGGCAAATAAAAAGCAGAAATATTGGAAATGCAAGCCAGCCATCAATTACTTCCAAGAATGCATCCCAGGAGAGCCCATTAAACTGACAGCCAAGGGCACTGAGCCAGCCAGGAAGAGCGAGGCCTCATTACTCATCCTTCTCTCTCACCTTCAGCGTGATGTCCGTCCAGTAGATGCGGTTGTCCGTCACGTCGAAGTCCAGGGCGGAGGCCTCCTTGACACCAGTGAGGGGGATCGCCACATTGTTGTTGTTTGTCTCCAGGGAGATGCGGCGGATGTCTGTGTGGCGGGAGAAGAGCAGGAAGGCCTCGGGGACGATGCAGGTGCTCATGTCGCCGATGAGCTCCAGGCCGATGGGACAGGCGCACTGGACCCCCTGTGGCCGGTACAAGCACAGGTGGCTGCAGCCCCCGTTGTTCTCCGCACAGGGGTTGGTACCTTCGGAGTGGGAAGAGAGACAGTGGGAGTCGGTTTACACCCAGACTACATTGAATTCATTGTCCCGTTTGTGGACAACCCCGACCCAAGTCTCTGCTGTGAATCTGGCACTAAAGACTAAAAACACAGCCTCAGGTTTTAGACAGAGGCTTGTGAAGCCTGATTAATCAAAGTAACAGCACCCTGATGTAAGACAAGTAGTCCAAAGACATCCAGATGCATTTGAAAAACAGTTATGCATTTCAGTCAGGATGAAAAAAAAGTCACCACCTCACATCTGATTCAGTTATGAGCTTGATGATTAAACAAACCAAACTGCATCATGGGAGACTTAAAAAGATGGCCCCTATTTCTCAATGAGAGGTTTGGAGAAATCTGACCAAAGTCATGGTGGAGAATGTACATGCAACATTATCACTGGGACCCAGAGACCATCCAGGAACCTGCTCAGGATGGAGATCTGGGTCTGCTCACCTATTGTCTTGTGCATGTAGGTGGCTTTGAGCCCCATGAGGTCGGGCAGCTGGTCTACGATGACCTCGCGCTCGGCAGAGCTCTTGTGCACGCGCTCGATGCTGCGCCGCTGCCAGTCCGTCCAGTAGATGAAGTCACCCAGCAGCGTGAAGCCAAAGATATGAGGCAGCTTGTCATCTAGCAGGACCCTGCGGCCCGTCCCATCCATGTTCATCTCCTATGGAACGGGGGAGGCAATAAGGCATTAAGGGAACTAGTTCAGCCTTCAACAGACAACATCAGGCTATGATTCTGATTCCTTGACTACTGAAGGGTCATCTCCCCTGTCAAGGGGGGGGAGGAGCCGGTGTTTAAGGGAAAGCAGACGGGGTATCAGAGATGGTCTGAACCTTTGCATATCAAGCAGAACAACAACAATATTAATGCCCTAATAGCAGAACCTACAGTCACAACTAGACCTGCTTCTGGAGTACTAGCTTCTGTTAAGACTCAGTTATGCTGGCTATGTTGCTAATAATCGAGTCTTCTAAACTGAAGGGAAGCAGCAGGCCCCTCCCCCTCAGAGTCTGCTCAGAAATCCAAACCCTGGAATCAGAGAGCTTTCCTGGCTACGTGCCATTCGATTCCCGAGCCAGCGGCATTCCTGCCCGGGTACCAGAGGCTTGCTTTAATTTTCAAGCACTTTGTTTTTTTATGGCTTAAAGATTGCACACATCTCAGCACAGTGGGGCACGCTTGGCAGCTTTGAAGACGACAACCTCAGGCGACCTTGTAGAAAGGTGGGTGCCAGGGCGGCTGCCTAGCAGCTCGCTGGCTTACGACACGAGGCTCCACAGTCCTATATTTCAACATCAACAAGCTGTTTTATGCTCCGATTTCAGCAGAACGCCAGCTGTGTGCAATTACTGGCCGGGCTGAGGGCTGACGCTTTGTGCCGCCTGGCAGCAGACGCGTGCCGTCACCTATGGACTGGCGGGCGACATCTGCATGCACCCGCACAGTCCCACATAGCCGAACCCGGGTGGCCGTAGCCATCTGGTCGCCATGGTTTCAGACACAAACATGAGAAGGGGCACTTCCCCCCCCTGCAAGGGCACGGTGAGGGAGGGGCGGGGGGGAGGTTGAGAGTTATGGCGCCGTTGAAGGAAACGAGAGCAGAAGAGGCGGGGTACTCTGGCAGCCAAAGCCGGCACTGATGATGGAAAGCAGCTGGTGCAACAAACAAACAAGGGAACATGTGGCCGCCATATTTCCTCCATAGACAGCAAGGGAGGGAGCGAGAGAGAGAGAGGGAGAGAGAGAGAGAGAGAGAGGGAGGGTGAGTAGGCAGACTACCGGAGGAGCTACAAAGCTGTTTACCGCCACGGCTCTGACCAAACACCGGTCTCTCCTGGTGAAGCCCAGTAACTCTTTCTGGGATGGCTTTGTTGTATGCGAGGATCCAAGCTCTCATTCCCAGAGAGTGACATTTGCGATCAGAGTAAACCACGGGCGACCGCATGAAAGCACGAGTCGGGCCCCTCTGGTCCGGTCCAAACCGAACAAAGTACGGCAAAGTAACCCCGAGTGAGCACGCCCCGAGCACACCATGACAAACAAATGACCCAGTGAGAGACCACCGCCACAGGGGACCACAGAAACCTTAGAGAGATGCAAAGGTGCTTGGGAAAGGGCAGTGGATTTTAAGAAACGCGAACCTTCAGTTACACAAACACATGTGAAAGGATGGCCTGCCATTGAAGGAGCAGAAGCGGCCAAAGCTGGAGCCCGAGATGGACATCCAGACCACAGACACGCTGCACTGACATGAACTTTTATTTTTCATAGATTGGGTTACATTTCTAGCTGGATTACTTTGCCTTTATTGTTTCCATACTTAATAATAAAAGATCATTTCCCCTTGCATTCTTCTCCCGAATTTTAGATCTCGAAAGAATAACAATAATGAAAATTTAATAAGTGACTCTGGACCAGTCCTTAGATTATTTTCTTTTAAGTATTGTCATAGCTGGATCTAGGTTGCTCAATATCCTCGCTGCAGCCAGCCGGCCGTCCTCAGCACACACACGGCCATATCTTCAAGTTTCCTTCTTTCACCATGCAAGCCAAGTGTGGAGGTCCCGGATGGTTGGAGAGCTGTGACCGCAGTGTGGTGCCTCGTCCACATTCTGCTGCTATTCTAAACAGTGGGGACCATGACTGCATGGAGCAGGAGCCACAACATAAACCAGATGTGGGCTCTGCTGCAAGCGCCACCTCGGCGTGTGGACCGGGTCGGGCCAGTGGGTCAGCACTGTCACCGGATAAATGGACTGGGCCTTGAGCCAGCTTCTGGCCGATGCGGTCACCTCCTCGTGTCCTGTGAGATGCCACAGAGAGTTTCTCTGCCAGACGGGGCGTGACACAAACGCACCACCACGAAGAAAGAGTCTGGGATCAGATGGAAACTCTCTACCGAAGAACTGCAATGTGTTGCTGCTTCTCCCATCAAGCTGAGAACGCGTCTTGGAGGTTATCAGCTAGGGAAGGGTTGAGGCGGTTCAGTGAGCAGCCTGGGCAGCGAAAAACCCGCTGCAATGAGAGGACATGGCTCAGGCCAGTACCAGATTTCAGACGTCTGGTGGTAATCGACTGTATATTCCAGCAATTTTCAGAGCCATTAACACAGGACAGGAAATGTTCTTCTCATTCCAGTCTAATTACAACCACCAGACCTTCCAGCTATTAGGCCTGCCTGCTTCTGGGCTTCATTTGCATGAGGTACGGCCACTCGTACGTGACATGGAGGGACTGCGATGCGAATTGGAAGTGGTATGGCCACACCAAACTCCCACCCGCCCCGTGGTGAGCCTTTCCAGCGGACTGCATAGCAGCCAGCCAATTGGCAGGACCAGTACCGCCAGTCCTACAGGGGGCCCTGCGGTGCACCATTACCACCAGGATTATCTGCGCTGTCAGACATACTGCCTGAGGAACATACCAAGGTGGGGCGGGGGGTGGCTATCACAGAGGATAACCCGGGCTAAAAATGTTGGAGGGGGCAGACAGCGATTATGGCCATCCATCTCCAGAGACTTCTTGAGCAGGTCTGAACGTGCCAACGATAAAAATAACATAAATGTAATAAAAGCAACAAGCTGCCGAGGATAAAGAGCACAGCTGCTGAACTGACGTATTGCATATCGCCTTGTGTAGGCTGGCCTCCTCCACAATGCACAGCGGGCACTTTCCCTCATACACTGTCAAACCTGAACTTCAGACCACAAACATAACACCACGTCATGTCAGGAATTGACAACATTCAAAGCAGCTATGACATCCTTAATCATGACGATGACACATCTGCGAATGTCAGCATCATCGAGCATGCAGCCAAACCCACAAAGTGCCAGAGACTGGAAAGATTTCCAGGACCAGGTCAGTTACTAAGCCCGTGTAGCTTGTATTCACATCTGGAGTATGCAGCCCAAGAGCAACCTTAGACCAGAAGCTCTGTTCACTGTCACTGAGGCTAATCAAGCTGTCACCGCAGGTCACCTCCTCGCCCAGGCTTCATTCCCCAGCATCTTGGGAGATGTTTGCTTTCTTACCTCGATCTTGTCCGTCTTGGCATCGGCCCAGTAGATCTTGCGCTCTGTATAGTCCAAGGCCAGCCCGTTGGGCCAGACCAGGGAGGTGTTGACCATGACTACACGGTCGGTGCCATCTAAAGCGGCTCGCTCGATTTTTGGAATCTCACCCCAGTCTGTCCAGTACATGTACCTGCAAAAAGTGACACATTACTAAGATGGGTATCTCACCAAGTGGACTTGGTACAGGCCACGTCAACTGCACTGAAAGTAAACACTTACATTTCCCATTGCCTATTAAGGTCTCAGTAGGAAGGCGGTCTGGTAAGATGGCTTGAGTACATACATAACAATCACTGAAAAACAATCTAATGCCAATTGTGAAACAGTGCCAGCTGGACATGGTGATGAACCTTGAAGATCAACAGTACCCTTGACAGTGAGAAGATCAGCTTCATCAGATACCCAAATGACACAGTGAGAATCAGAAACAGATGTCACAGAAGCTGCTCACTTAGTAGCCAGAACGAAGTGGCATTTGAAACGCTGTTCAGATACGGGCTTTCATGGTCAGTCCATCTATTCAGAATCTGCCAAATTCAACCTTGGCCCAAGAATTGACTTTTGCATGGATCAAAGACAACAAAAGTGCTACTAAATCTCACTCAAACCCTCTATGGTCCCAAATGAACTTGGGAAAATGGAGGGGATGCCCCAATGTTTACCGTGGCAGGAATCCACACCAAACAAAACTTTTGTTTGTTTTCCTGGCTGATAAAACATTGTCAAGGCTCTGCCTCAACCACCTAAAAAACAACCTCCTAGCTTGTACAGTTAGACAAATACCAGTGTGTTCAATCAAGTCCTCCTGCCACCAGAACTATGAATTCATAAGGCTTAGTGAACGAGGGGGTTTAATATAATATCGCCTGTTAGGAATCAGCATTTACTAAGTAGGAAGAGAGGTGCAAGAAATGTTAGCATTTAATGTGTAGAGAGCATTCTACTTGTCATTAGTAAACAGAGAATGCAGCAATGCAAATTCTGAAGTACAAACATGTCTTTTCAATGTGGGCTTTTATTTAAATTTTTTTTTTGGAAAAAAAAAAAACATTCTCCTGAAATCCAGAAGATATTGGTGATGTTGAATGAACTTCACATCAGCTTTTTGGGTGGTGTTTCAGTGAGCTGCAATGTTGTGTTACACTTCCAGAATTGGGGTTTTAAATCCAACCACTACTTTGTGTGTGGAATTTGCATGTTCTTTCCATGTCGCAAGGATTTGCTCTGATAGGCCAAAGACATGCAATTTAGCTCACTGGTGTCCCCACATAGGTATAACTGTGTATGCGTGCCCTGTCATGGACAGCCATTCTGTCCAGGGTGTTCCCCAGCTTTTTGTTCCCCTATGTTGCCTTTTGCACTATGCTCCAGGCCATGTGCTGATCAGGATACATGATTATATGGACATATGAAAATCCCCTTTAATGCTGAGAAGAGCTAGATGATCTGGTATCACTCACCCAGCTGTGGGATCCAAGACAATGGCTCGAGGCTCATCTAGGTCCTCCGAGATGAGGATCTTGCGCATGGTGCCATTGAGCCGAGTGACCTCGATACGGTCTGTGCCTGTGTCGGTCCAGTAGAGGTTCCGGGCTACCCAGTCCACGGCGATGCCATCTGGGTGGCTGACCTGAGAGGTGACCACGAACTGGCTGCTGCTGCCGTCCAACCGGGAGCGGCGGATGGCTCGTACCTCATCATCTGTCCAGTAGACCAGCCCCTCCACTGGGTCATAGTCAATGGCGATGGCATGGCGGACATCATCCATGTTCAGCACAACGTCAGTGAAGTCGGGTGTATCCAGGGAAATCTGCCGTAAGTCTGTTCGCCGTGCCAGGAGCAGTATCTGGGTGGCACCTGCGAGGACGGGCTCCACCATCACCATCGTCAAGGTCTTAAACTGTCAACCCTGACAAAATTAGACTGGCCAATCAAGGACTGACCTCCACTAAGTCTATTAAAGACAAACTGGCCTTACACTGATGAGCAGTGTACTCAATGACCATTTCTGATGGCATTAAAGACTTGCAATGGGCTAAAGCCATTTATTTCTAATAAGGATGGCTTGCAGTCAGTTAAACTCAAATCCACTATCCTTCAAAAAATAAAGGACAGCATCTATTAGGATGTGATACATTTTACCAGAAATATTACTATAGGTAGCATCTTGGCAAGACACTAGACTAAAGGGTACAAGAATTACGAAAGAATAACGACCCTCCCATCAAAATGACCTTTGTCAGCGGTCACCCTTTTGAAAGGAAACATCTGCCAACTCTGGCTGCTGAAAAGGGGCTGCGCTCCAAGCCAGCCAATGGCACCAGATCACACCAAAGAGCCCAATGTTTTCCATGGCCATCCTTCTCAGATGCTAAGAAACATGCTATCTTTGATAGGGCCCTTCCTTTTACTCCCTATTCATCTCAAAGCCTTGCATTTCATTCAGTGCCATCAGAAAAGGAGAGGGGGCACCTCGACATGTCGGTGTGCCAGTTTGCCTGCTTATAAAGACCAGTGAAGCCCACTTTGAAGAGGAGATCAGCCGAGGCCCACTTTGAACGCTCGAGCATGACGAGCTCCCCCCCCCTTCATTGAGAGGCTGTGTGGGCCCCGGCAGGCCCCAGCCAAATAGACATCTCAGCCACCCAACAAAAGGTGCTTTCTCCCTGGCTGCTGGTGTGTGTGTGGCTCTCGTAAGAGGCTCCCTGTTTCTGGCCCACAGAGGATGATCATAGCACTTTCCAGAATTCTACAGAAGACCTGCGGCCCTCAGAAGAGCTGTTGTACTTTATCCTAACAACCATAAACTGTTTAGTTAATCTGTTTCTAAATTAGGCAAACCTACCCAAACCATTACCAGATCAATTGGTGCTTATGAACCTTCAGAGAAGATGACACTTAACAATATAACGCACTATGTGCTATTAGGCAAAGACGAAAAGTTAAATTCATCTTAAACAGAATGTGGACACCAAGTTTTATCAACAAATATATAATTCTGTATCTTCCCTGCACAGTAGGTGGGGCTTATTCTGTGGATCTCAGGAGTGTTCAGAGTACAAAACCCAACACACGAAGGCCTCAATCCCATCTGCTCCCACCAGAGCAGAACAAGGTCTCACTGACACACCCGGTGGCCAGGCTGGGCCGGGGCGACCCGGCCCATTTACAGAATGGGCAGTGAAGCAGTGCCGCCTGAATGGAAAAGAGGCCAAGCTGTGAAAGGGGCACCGTCTGCGGAGGACCTCTGACCTGGACCCCGGGGGAGGGGACCAGGGTGTCTTAAGCTGTAAAACAGAGCTGGAGGGCATGGCGAGGGTTTCCATGGCGACCCAGAAATGGACAGGCTGTCGAGGCTGCTTCAGTACAATGTCTGTCAGGAGCTGTGAGTTTCAGCGACTTCACAGGCTGATTTTGAAAGGCTTCAGTCCAGTTCTCAGGACAGATAAGGCGGATCCCCACTTCGCAGAACAGATATGTGAGCCCCCCCCATGCGATGCTTTGGATTTTTAGCAGTAACTGTTGAAATTGTTTTATCTTGTTTACATGAAAGGTTGGGTAAAATAGCCTGGAATAATTTTCCTTTCAAGCAAAGAATTTTTGACAGCTGACATTAACACAATCAAGAAAGGAGTTGGATTTTCCTGGAAAATTCACAACAATGACCATGAACGGTGGTGTTTCTGTGAATATTCTCCCCGTGAAGAAGTGGGATTAATCACAGCTGGGAGAAGACTCCCAAAAGAGCGTAACCCTCTCCATCCTGGCATGACAAGTGGGATCTGCTTATTTACCACATTATGAAGGAATAGACAAGGGACTGCATAGTGTTATAGGATTTGTCCAGCTGCATTATGGGTAGTCCTGCAACACTTGTGAGTGGGGCTAAAGAGCCAGTGTAGGCAGGTCTAGGTCACTTTAATGCAGGGAAAAGGCCGGGAAATGTGTGGGAGGTGCTAACTGTAGTGAGCGTGGTCAAACAGCAGTCAGGGCGGAGACTCACCCTGTCGGCACGTACGCTGGTCTTCCAGTAGCTGAACTCCTGTGGGGCAGGCACACTGGTAGAAGGGCTTCACGGGAGACAGCAGGCACAGGTGGGAGCAGCCACCGTTCCCCACCATGCAGGGGCCGGACACTGCTGAGGCAAAGCCGGCATGACGGTGACTGCATGGTCACACACATGCACGCATCTCTTACCGAGCACAACCAGCACGGTCAGCACCATGCTCATTCTGCAAAGTTCTCAGGACACGCAGCTCCCCTGGCTTTATGCTTTCTTATGAAAACATAAAGAACGGCCCTCTTACCCAATCGGTGCCGGCTTTCAGACTAAATACAAGTGACAAAGGTCTCCGTTTGGGGCTGCAAAGAGAGTGGGATTTCCGGCGGCAACATTACGGAGGCAGAGGGTTCTATATAGGGTTCTGCCTTTACCAAGACCATAGATCTATGGGGGGAGATTGGGGCACCCTTCATGCTTCTAGAAACCACCTACAGCACAATGGGAAGCTCGGAAGCTTTTTCACACCAAAATGCACTTCCATAAAAAAAATCACACCATTGAAATTTGGGTGAAGGACAAGCGTCTGCAAGGAGCCATGTGTTAAACTAAGGAAAAGAGCAACAGGACAGCACACCGCTCAAGGTTAGCAGTAATAACACTGTTAATTAAAGGCCATTTCAGGGAAGCGGCAAGGTCATTGGGAGGATAAGAATGTTAAACGGAGGCCAAAATGCTGCAGGGATATAATGCGAGAGGGCTGCCCTGAGCGGCCCGAGCTGGTTCTCCAACCCAGACACAGTGCAGAACCTTAAGCATTCTGAGCGGGAGGGGAATAAGGAAGACTAGCACAGATACAATGTTCAATACATAATTAACAGCTGTTGAAAAACAGAGAAATAAATACGAGTGTGATACGGCATAATGCTGCCCTTTGTGAGCGGGGACGGGAACACAGATCGAGTGTGTGCGCTAAAACCAACATCCCCCGGAGAGGCAAAAATGCTCCAAATTCTGCAGCGGGGAAGAAGAGAGGCCCTATTGTTTTCGACACCACAGAATCGATGGGCGACGGTCCCTCGAGTCAATTCCGGAGAGACATTTCAAAGGAAAGTCATGAAAACCAAGTTCCCATGAGTTCCTGGGAAGTAAGAGACGGGGGGCTTCCTTTTGTTTTTAATTTGAGCCGTTTCCCTCGCCGATTTAATGTGGCACAGGTCTAGTTAAGCCGCCCCCAAGTAGCAAGTCTGGCCTGGAGATGACTAGGTCGGGGTCAGAAGGATCCAGCCACAATAGCGGAACTGTCGGGATGTGCTGGTGGAACCCAGGGACCTACCGTGGGGCTGCCTCTCCTGGCTGTAGGCGTGGAGGTCCATGGGGGAGAAGATGTTGGTGTGGACCTCACGCTGGTCCTCGCCGGTGTACTTGTTGCAAGAGTGGATGGAGTGCGTGTTCCAGTCGGTCCAGAAGAGCGTGTCGCGGTACAGCGTGAGAGCGAAGGGGTGCGGGAGTGATCCCTTCACCACCACCTCCCTAAATATGCAGTTGCGCGGACAGGCACGCACACACACAACAGACAATTAACCCCTGAACACACACAATTACCACACTTATACATACATTCACCCATTACAGATACAGAACTATCAAATCAGACACTGTCCAGAGTCTGGGGACTTAATTTAGCATGCCTGCTGCATGCTAAATTAAGGATGTTCTGTGTTGGTAAGAGAACCTTGAAAATTACTGATGTTAAGTTTTTACCAGTCATAACAGAATACTGTATCTCTATTACTCAGTGATGACTATGTGTCATTCCTGTGATTAAATAGCATTTAGCTACATTTATGTACTGTAACGGTAAACATACTGTCCAACAGCATATAACTAGGATGCAAACGGTCATGCAACACACAGATATCACACAGTAAACGACAGACTTCCACATGGTGTGCGTGTGACGGGTTAGCTGGCTGCCCGCAGGTTCTCCTACCGCAAGCTGCCGTCCAGGTCGCTCCGGTGGATGAAGTTGAACTTTGCATCAGCCCAATACAGCTTCTTCTGGTCGTAGTCCAGCGTCAGCCCGTTGGGCCAGTAGATGTTTTTGTCAACGATGACCGAGCGGCTTGTACCGTCCATCCCAGCACGCTCGATCTTGGGTATTTCCCCCCAGTCTGTCCAGTACATGAACCTAGGTGAGACACAACAAGCCCCTGCTTTTTCAATTTACAGAGTTTTTGCTAAAATGATTAGCTAAGCCACAATATTCCTTATAACCAATATACATTCAAATTCTGAAGGCAGCAGAAACTAAGTAATCACTTGGAGGGGTTCTAGTTAAAACCTATGGTCTGTCATATTTTATCAGAATATTAAAAACACCTCTTAAACCTCGAAATCTGAAAAACCTGCATCAATGCCATGAAGGGAGAATAGCCTCAGGGCATCACACACTAAAGCGGCAGCTCTTCCATGGAAAGACGAACGCAGTCATTTTACCAGGATACCTCAGAAACTCAAATATAGGGCATAGTCACACTTGGCCTGGTTGTCTGGTACGGATTGTCCCCCCTCCCCACTTCCCCGCTGGCCTGCGTTCATAATTCACTTAATGTTCCAGGCCAACCCACCGTGACTGTTTTGAAGAAAACGTATGAAGAAAGGTACTATTGCACAGCACAATGGAGTCTGTGATTAATGTTTCTTTTGTTTTGGGTACGATGACACATGGCCCTCATAGATTTATTGAGTATTGAGTATCTGACGTGGCGATTTTGATTGAATTGTGCTGTCCTGTATTTTGGCAAATATCTCTCTTGTGTGTTGCATCCAGTAGCTCCTGGATACTCTCCTCAGCCCAAATTCCCAGCAAACGCTGCACCATTGCCGTACACTAAAGTGTCCCCTTTGCCACAATGTTTCTTATATGTTTGTCACTACCCGATCTGTACAGCCTACCCAATCTGATCCTTCCGGGTCCGGTTTATGTAGTGTGTATGTGGGGCAGCTCGAAGCATGCACACTCGAGACTGGATCCCTGTGGCATTTGGAGCCGAGGTGAGGGGGGCTCGCATGGCAGGGTGCAACAATCTGACACATCCTGCCAATCAGCGCAAGGAAAAAAAAGTGCCTGGGCCCACAATGCTAATGGCTGCCTTTGTTTCCCCTAACTGCCCTGCCAAAGGCCCCTGAAGGCACGCACATGCAGCGCGGCCCGACTCACGCAGGACAGCCACCCTGTGATGTCGGTGACCCGGCTGCATGACCCGAAGCGTGACACCGCAGAACAGGGTTCATCGCGCACAACGCGCACTAGAGATGGGCATTTCGGGCAGAATTTTTATTAATGGAATCTCACCTGTCATTATTTGAATAATATTCACTTAACCCCACCCCCACCTGACTGCACACAGAGAAACATGTATGGAGTATTAATGAAAAAATATCGATTTTTTTCCATGCAAAATGAAACATCAGTCATTGCTGCAAAAGAAAATTGTACTCAAATTAGCATTGAGACGAGCCCTGAATGATACTGGAAAATTTTTTATTTGAAATCTTTGTGATACTGTCACGATCGGGCTCCGGTGATCCGGGAAGCAGGGAAACGGAGCCAGGAAGTCGGGTACAAACGGGGTTTTAATGCTCGAGAGACAGACAGGTAGGGACATCGACGGACACTACAATGACAAGTCTGGGGAAGACTGACTCAGACGAGGACTAAATACAAAAGACAAGCTAGACGTAATAGGACACAGGCGATCACAATCAGGGCTGAACACGAGGTAACGAGGTGGGCGTGGCACACATTAGGATCGAACGGAGCAGGGTGTGACAGATACATATTAAGATATTTTTAAAACAAAAAAAGGAGCTGATCATTTACCCAAAAGAAACTACTGCCAAGAGGAACTTATTTATGAACAGTCTGTGTTTACTGAGAAAGGCAAGTGAGTAGCTCACATTTTAGTTAACTCGCCAAAAAGTCCCTACCGGTACACTGACAATTCACTCCTATTTAAAATTTTATTAAGATCATGAATTTCATTTTTAACAACATGACAACCTAATGTACATATAGAATTAACAGCAGCTGCATAACCAGATTCTCTTCCTCATGTGCTAACAGACACAAAGCAACGTCAACAAATCATTCAATATCGATTCTATGGAATCCCAAGTATTTCTCTACTGCAAAATACAAAAGTCTTCTGCTGATCAGTTCTTGATCACTTGTTCATCTCGGCCATTTTTATCGTATCTGTCAAACACGCCACACTGTGAGTGAGCAAGGATGAAAAGGATTATGATTGGTTCAAAGTGCACATGTAGAGCTCATGCAAAAATTTCAGCCCGAATAAACCAAAAACTAAACAAAGAAATATCTAAAAATCAGTTTGCCTTTGCGTGAGCTCTGCATGAACTCCCCAAACCAATCATGGTCATCGTTGTTCTTGCCATTTGACTCACAACGCGCCATGTATGTGAGAAATTTAACAAAATCAGTGAAGTGAAGTGAAGAACTGGTCACGAAAAGACATTAATCCCAATGCTGTGTTCCATTTACGTCAGAGGTTGTAAAGTCGGAGCTGGGAATGAATGAGCCGCATTCCAGTACAAGAAGTCAGCAATACCAGAGACCCGTTTCAAAAAACAGGATTTCTTGTTTAGCTGGACAACTTGTCGGATTTAAAGTAGAGATGGGCGATCCACGTTTTTTCAGTTCCGATCCGATT